GTTAATAATGATTACTAAGCAAATATTAATATGTTAATTGTTAGCCTGGGATTGATTGTGAGGTTTTTCTGGTTAATTTTTCTAATGAATTTGGTTTCTAAACAAGAGACCATTTCAAAAACTTAATTCATTTGCAATGATATTTGAAGCTAATTTAAATCAGGTCTTTAATGATTGTAAGTTATATAAATAAATATTAATTAGTTTATTTGATTAATGAAACACAAGTGTATGATTTTACTATTCTGCTAATATGTATTTATAAGCAGATTTGATTTTAAAAGGAAGAGGAAAAGGTCAGTTGTGATTTTTTTTTCTTTTCATTAGCTTTATATTTAGCAGAAAATGTTAAAAGAGCTATAAATTGCCTATCCAAAGTGTTAGTTTTCTACTTACAGCAGTCAAAAAAGGTGGCCGAACTTGGTATTAGTCAGACTGAATGGCTCTGTAGGGGAAAAAGTCTTGCTATAGATTTTGAGTAAGCAATAAGTAATATATATCTATATATTTGCTTTTTGAATGTCACTGTTGCACTTTCAGGCATATGCAGGCTTAATGGTCTGTCTGTCTGTCTGTTTTACTTTCTCCTGGAATGACAGTTTAACAATTTTCCTTGTTGGATTATATTAAAATCTTTAAATGCTATATTAACTAAAACATATTTCCAATGTTTAGACAGCCAAAATCTGTGCAATCTTTTTAATGGAGTATAACTTAGCAACTCTGCTATTATCACAGATATCTTATTGTTAGAGCTACATTAAAATATCCCCAACTTTGAGTTTCGTTCATATTTAAATTTTCTGGGATGTGCTGACCCATACTTTTGCACTATTTTAAAGTGGATTTTTCCAAGAAAGCAATAGTTTCGTAAGTTAAACAAGAACTTGCTTAATATAGTTTAATTATTTTAAGAGATTTTAAACTAAGTTTCTTGAATGTCTACCATATTTTGAGCATTATGCTAGATATCTTGCCTGGATAACTTGAAGTTACGGCTATTAGTAATGGCATCTAGGTAGAAGATGAGCAGTGGGAAACAGTCGTGAAGTGGCCCAACCAGGAACCAAAGTATCTTTAGGGTTTTATCAGAACAGGTATTGTGATCTGTCTCTTCTTGGCGAAATCGAGATTTTGATAGCTCCTCTTGTTATAGTATTCTGTTGTTGCCCTGGAGAAGGGAGTGACTAACTGAAATAGTGAGAAAGAATGAGATTCCTTGGGACAAATGCAGGGCAGACCAGTACTGACTGACTTAGCAGCCCACAGTCTGTTTCACTGCTTGCCTTTTAGAATTGCTTTTTTAAGTTTTCTTGGCACTTTTTCTTGAGATACTCTAAGGAACAAAGACCTTTTATTTTGTGGTAGAGGACATGGAGAACAATTATTCACAGTCCAATCTTTTATTGGCACAGCTTTCCCTGGTACTTCTGTCCCTTCTAACTTACTGGTGCTCCGTCTGCCCAAGGCCAGGGTCCTTGGAGCAGGTTTTAGTGGCATGAAGTTGAAGAAGCAGATACTGGAAAATCCAGGCTTATGTGATCTTTCCTGTCTTTGATAAGTTCAGCTTTCATATTGAAAAGTTGTTTAAACCTTTAAAATTTTTCAAGTTGTGATATATATTTATCTCAAAAGTAAACTTGAAACTTTAAAATTAGTAAAGTCAATTTTAAAGTATTATATATATTTATATCTATACTGTAGTTATTATTTTTAAGAAAACTTAACAGCCATCTCCATTGAAAGGCACAATATTAATTTTTAAGTACATCAAAATGCTAAATTTGACTTAAAAAATTTCCTAGCAGTTATATGTCATTGTGCCTCAGTGTATAAAAGTTAATTACTTATTACAGTTGACAAAAATATATAGTTTAATAAAAATATCTTATTTAATCACAGAAAATAGAAAGACTAACACTCTCTTCAAACTTGTAGATTTGTACAGTCTCATTATAATATCCTCAAAGTGTTCATGATTTCCAAAATCGTAAGGGAGCCATCTTCAGAAATTTTAGTAAATTAAAGTTGTGAAGGATAAAAAGCATATACCACGTTGAATTTATATGATACCTTATTAAATCATTGAACTGTATTCATAGACTCAACCTTTTAATGATATATGTTAATTATATTTGAGGGCGTGACTTTGAAATATCAGTGTTACTTTTAAATTTTGGCATTTTTCAGAATTTTGATGTAATTTTTTTATATATTTTAATACTTTTCAGATATCAGAGTTGATTTTAAGAAGCAAAAATAAAACTTAGGTACTTTCCAAATTAAATGAAGTGATCAATGTAAAGCGCTGAACTCAAAACCTAGCATATAGCAATTCCTGTGACAATCAGTTTATGATTATGATCGTTATTTCTGACTCCTGTCTCCTTGCCACAGTCTCTCACGGGTTTGTATACCTGACAATTTCCATAAACTCACAGTATTATTACTTTTCATTGTGTCTACCTTCTAGCTCTTGATGTTTAAGAAATTTCTGGAATTACTTCTTTAACTGTCAGTACATAACTCTTGTTCAAGAACACACATGTTTACATAACACACACATATGTGTTAAAGAACTTCACTTTCTCTAATACCAGTAGCTTATTTCCCATTTGTCTAGGATCCAAGAGCTTGTGGGTCAAGAGATGAGCTGGATATGATCCTGACCTGCAGCAGATCATAAAGACACTGGCATGGGAAGGCTGATTCCCTGTGTTTTAATGTGCTTATTTGCTGTGGGAGTTTGGGTTCTCTTGTATCTTAAACTAGTCCTATAATAATAAGAAAAACATTATATGTTTTTCTGAGGAAATTATGACTGCAATATAAAATATATTCAGATGCATTACTTTTATTTGTATTTATTTTAGACTTATTGAAAATACTTTTAGTAATATAAAAATATTTTTTATATAAAGTAAAAAAACAAAAGTCCCTTCCCTCCAATTCCTATACTGTCATTTTTTCAGGAGAAAGAAGTTTTGATAGTTTGGAATGAATCCTTCCAGACTATTTACACCTGTGGCTCAGTGTATATATGGTTGTGTTTTTTGTTTCCCCACTGTTGTTTTTCACAAAAATGAGATTGTATTGTCCTGTAATTTTCTCATTTTGTCATACATATGGGCATCATTTTATATCCTCAGTCTTCTCAGTCTTTTTCATGTCTGTGTAATACTTGACTATATTGATATATCTCAGTTTATTTAGCCCTCTCCTGTGGAAAGACGTCAGGGTCTCTGGATTCCATCTGCTTGCACATCATGTTGTATGAACTCCAAGGCTGAAAGCTTTTGTCCTGGATACATCCGTGCTTAGTTTCCCAACTACACTGTGCAGGCTATAGGAAGCCTAGGTTGCTTATTGGCCTTCAGGGGTCATTCTAAAGGTTGTCATTTGATCTTGGATAGGCCTCAGTTCAGAGTACCAATTCTGTGGTTTGGAGTTTTAAGGTATCAGTAGCAGTTTATGGAAGTTTCTCATTCTTACCTCTTAAAAATTTAAGATGCATTGCGTAACTGGGGGGGAGGGGGTTAGCTGTTATATTTAAATACTATTATATTGACAGAGGTCTGGGTTTTTGAGCTATAAAGAAAATCTGTCCAATCATTTTTTAAAAATTAAGAATTCTTTAGATCATGGCATCTTTTGGAGAATTTTTTTGAGAATACATTTGTTTTCTTGCAATTGTGGAATATTTTTGTTTCTTTATATGTCTAACCAGGTGTATTAAAGTTTAATTTGTGATATTTCTGGTGGGGAGGCTGTTGATGGGGGGTGGAGGAATTGAGTGAAAAAGAAAAAAAAAGAACTCATGGAAAAAAATTTAATTTGTGACCATCATAAATAGCATAATTAATCACAGTTCTAAAAATTCAAACATCAATATTCCATGGTTAGCATTTCATTGGGGGTGGGGATGGTGTTCATAAAATTTTATGTTCTTCAGTCACTATTTATTTAATAGATATAGTAGTAATTTATTTTTGTTGTGGCTACTGGCTATATCTTGGAGTTTAACATCTGCTGGTTTAAACTGCACATTTTTAAAATTCTCAACTCTAATTGCCTAGAATGAAGGAAAAGAATTGATTTATATGCATATTTTTGCTTGGGAGATTTTATTTCATATTTGTAAAATAGTAATGTAGAATTTAAGGAAGGCGATCCATTATTAGACATGTAGAGGAGGAATTACCACTTTTCTTTGATAATATGGTAATTGTTCAACATATTTTAAGTAATAACCAGCTGTTGACTTGAATATTTTTTACCTTTCAACAAAGTTGGTATTCTGCTATGATGTCATAGCTATACGTTTTGATTTATTATTGCACAGAGTATGTCATGCATATTCTGTGAACAACCACGCTGAGCCAGTATTGAGAATACATCTTTATTATTTGTGACATTTTCTACGTTAAAATGGAGTTGAGGTTCTTAACCAGATTTTAATGCACATGGTCAAAGAGGGTTGTAAACCTTTTACTTCTGCAGTGATTTCTTCTTTCTAGCTCTCCATGAACTTTTACTTTGCTAGAGTTTACGTGATATTTTTGTGTTTTTCTTCTCTCCAAAACAGTATTTCTTAAGGCTGTTTATATGCAAATATACCTCAAAAAGTGTTAAAAATACATTTATTCTTAACGTAATTTGAAGAATAAAAAAGATTGAGATATAAAAATTTAAAATACAGTAATTCAGTTTATAACAAGAATATTTTATAATGAAATGCATTTTTGATGACATACATAGAATTACAAATCTCATTTTTATTTTGTAGTAGGATTATAAACTATATTGAAAATTCTTTAGCAGGGTAAAAATCAAATGACTTGTTGAAAGATTTGTGCTGTAACTTATTTGACATAGAATTGAATTACTAATTTTTTATTTATTGAAATTAAATAATTTATTTTATTACTTAATCAAAACTGCAGTCATATACTTGAAAATATGTATTCTGTTCAACATTAGGTTTTCCTTTTCTTTTTCAGTCTGTGATCAAAACAGGGCGACTGCTAATCAGTCACGAAGCTCCCTTGACGGGCGGCTTTGCGTCGGAGATCAGCTCTACAGTTCAGGTACAATAACTTCTTGGCATTGATTTTAACATTTGTGCAATTGCACATGTCTATTCCAAGAAAAAAATCACATGTCACAATATATAAAAATATGCACTTTTTGGAAATGCACATTTTTCATTTGACTCTACCTCCCTGTCTTAGTAATGGTCTAATTACATCATCTAGAAAAGAAATCTTAAAATAATAAAAGCTGAAAATTCCTTTATAGGAAGAAGCAAGTTTCAAATGAGTTTAATAAACTGTCACTTATGTTTGCTAGGATATCAGAACTTTAAATTTGAATGTGACATTTCTTTCTTGATAAAACTTAAGCTTATTATGAAATGTGTTGTTATAAAATTTATTTTAGATTCTCCTGCCTTCACCTAACAAAAAATGCACCTCTCAAAATGTAATAATGTAAATTCAATAAATAATTTCAAAATCAATAATTTAATTTATTAAATTAGTAATTTTTTGTTATGTTATTGGTAATGCTTTAGAAATGGTTAAAAATGTATTTCTCTTTTAAAAATGTTTAGTTAAAATGCTGCATATCAGGAAAACTTTCTAGCTACTAATGGAAAATTTTTATTTAAAACTTTTATTTCCATTTGTATCATAGATATGAATAAGATGATTTAAATGAGTTTCATTTTTCCTCATTTTTAAAATTAAAAATTATATAACTATATTTTAAATGTAAAATATATGCCTTTTAAATTTAGAATATCTTTGCAGTTTGCAAACATTTTACTTTATGGGTATTAAGATGATATTGTTGTTAATACATACAAATTGAAAATTTCTTTAAGAGTATATGGTTTACTAACTTGATTGTTAATAAGATTGTGATATATGAAAAATGATGTTTTTATTTTTAAACATTTAACTAGTAAATAATGATTTCTACCAATGAAATATCTTTAAGTTCTAATTGACAACACTCTATAAATATTTTTAAATTAGATGAAGCAAATTTAAACATAAATTTTAACACTAGATCAAAATAATCCATAAGTACATTCAGAAACAAAATATGCTGTTATTTTTACATGTTATATAGATAGTAACAAACTTAAGAAAATTGAGTTTTATAGATTTGTTGTTTTCCTATTATTACATAAATTAAAATTTGAAACATACTGCTTATCATATAACACAAGTACCCCGTATTTATTGTGCATATTATTAATTGAGTAGCATACTGTTCTAACTTTGTAAAAAATGAAGATTGCAGGGATGAATTATTTCAACATCAAGATGTTATTTCAAGTTAGAGACAAAACTGAAAAAAAGAAACTGGGATTTTCTGATTTCTAGTTAACGTGGTCCACTAATCCATTTGAAATGATAGTGACTGTTGCTCATAGAATCTTTATCTGACAGCCTCCTTTTATTTTGTTGTCTGAATGCCATCTTATTCTTAGCTCAAAAAATTCATTTGCATTTGAATATAAAAGGAAAACAAGAGCACATGTACAACTCCTCCTGTGAAGTTACCTTTCTCTGTGCACTTCTTAAATTTGATCTCCATAAATTATTAGTAAGCTGCAATAGGATGAAATGTATTTTTTAAACTGGGAAGGAATTAGGAAGATTATCTCATTTAGTGTTTCTTTGTCTTGAATAATATGTGGACTTGTGTTGACAGAAAAATGTTTCTGAGGCCCCAAGAATACATGTATGAATTCCAGTTTGAGGAACACTGTATTGTGAATTAGACACAGTCAGTATAAAAAGCTAACACCAACAAGATCATAACACTGTATCAAGATCAGATCCTGAAATTATGTGATATTGATAGGTGCTAAAGGTTATGAAAGAGATTACCCAGAATGTAATTATATTTATACTAGAGGCCCGGTGCACAAATTCATGCATGGGTGGGGGGCCCTGCTCCCTGGTTGAGCTCCCGTTGAACTCCCGGTGGAGGGGACATTTGCATATTAGCCTTTTATTATGTAGGATCATAATATGAAGACAAAACAAAAAAAGACACTTTGTAATACTCTTACACTCCCGAGAATTTGCCCTGAGATCCTCAGGTATCTGTTGTTTTAGCGTAATCCTGACAACCTAAGTCAACCATGTTCCTTTTATAGTTAAGTGTTTGTCATCCAGAGTGCTTGTGCCTTACCTGGTTTAAAAGGACAGTGGAAGCTCCGGGAGTTGGACAGGAATATTGAGTAAATATTATGTGTATGCATGTGCATTCTTTATTCAAAGCCCCCACCTCCTAGGGCAGTGATGGCAAACCTATGACACGCGTGTCAGAGGTGACACGCAAACTCATTTTTTTGGTTGATTTTTCTTTGTCAAATGGCATTTAAATATATAAAATAAATATCAAAAATATAAGTCTTTGTTTTACTATGGTTGCAAATATCAAAAAATTTCTATATGTGACACAGCACCAGAGTTAAGTTAGGGTTTTTCAAAATGCTGACACACCGAGCTCAAAAGGTTCGCCATCACTGTCCTAGGGGAAGATAGCAGTTTTGGATTCATTATAAAATGTTCTGTTTTCCCTTTTAAAATCATTCAACCAAATAACAGGAAAATGAATTAAGATAATAATGTAAAATTTATAGGGAGATCTGTATTTGATATTTTGGGGAATTAGAATTTGATTTATTAATATGCAAATGATTTTGAAAATGTTTACAGTTGTTGCTTAATTCAAATTTTATTTGCACAAATGGAAAGTATGGAAAATGAATTTTAATAAAATATAATCAACATAGTACCCCCAAAAGGTTGCCTGTTGGCTTTAATGTATTGATAAGGGAGAAAACAAAAGAAGGAAAGCTAGATAATTTGAGAGATTTTCTTCTTTTTTGGTAATAATGATTTCATATAATTTAGAGTATTCTGAATAAGAAAAATCTACTTTTCAGTAATTATTTCATGAACATATTCAACTAAATGCAATGTACTATATTAAGCATCTTCTTCATGGAAGTCCTCAAACCTTATGAAAAGTGAAGCCTGTGTCAAATTACCAGTGCCTTGGATTTAAACTGAAATCACTTGAGTGTAAGGTGCAGTTGCTTTCATGTCTTGGAACAAGTCATTTCTATATTTCTTTTTGTTGTGTATACTTAGTAAGGTTAAAAAAGATAAAACAGGGTTAAGAAATTGAAAGCCAATTTTCTGGGATGGCAGGGAAAAGGTACACAGAGAACTTTTAACTGTTGTCTTGGAAAAGGACTTTGAAATTATGGATGAGAATGATCTATAAATTTGAGCACTATTGATTAAAAGACTGAATTATTCTCCTTGTATCAGCGCATGTAAATTCCATATGAAAGTGAGCATATACAAAATAATCTTGACAAACACTATTTCGTGGACAATATTTGTACCTCTTTAAAAGCTCAAGACTAATCTTAGGAAGTTGCTCTTAAAATTATATTTTAATGGTTATTTTATTATCAAATAAAGTATAAATAATATTTTATCATAGTTTAATAATATAATGATTATTAATAATAAAACTATTTTTAAATGCATTAAAATCTGATAGCATGATTTTTTGTTTTTCTAAAATTCTAAATTATTACCCATATTAAAAATTAAAAAATTGGAGGCGAATGCAGCACTATCGAGGGTATTCTTTTAATGCTATAGTTGGTATTTTTAGATAGAAAAATTGTCATGCTATATAAAATTAGATATCAAGTAAAGGGGCTTTTTTGGTAGGTATAGGAAATATTGCTGGCATTACTATTAAGATTATTTTGTTATACAGATAAAATATGAAAAGAATGAAAATATATTTATATTTTATTTACATAGTTTTTCAACTTACGGCAGATGTCATTTCCATAATACAAGGAGCTCCGTATCAACATCTTAAGATTGTTCATGCCTGTTGCCTGTTTTTCATAAAGCCATTTATTATTTTAAAAAATGTTATTGTTAACATTCTAAGTTTGAAGGTATGTTAAACTCACAAGTGATCAGGAGATTACTTTATATTGAATATAAAAATATTTTTATTTATATTTATCAGTAGTTTCTTTATAAAATATGTGCTTACAAAAATCAAAGCTAATACATTGAATCTACAAACTGCTTTACATTCCTACTAGATTTAATTTGGAAGTCAACTGGAAGCAGAATAAGCTGAGGTCTGGTATATTTGGCTGCCCTCAAGGGGAGATTTCTTGGTCGGTCATCCAAAGCTTCACTGTCTCTTCCCACCTAATTTTACATTCCCATCTGTTCTCATTTTGGGGTGAGGGAATGTTTTCCTTCTTACATTTGACCCACACACAAAACTTGGAGATGTGCTTCTTTTAGGGAGTTATGCATTCCCATTGTGCACCCTGATCTGTGGAAAAGTGCAAAGACAAGAGTTTAGGCAATTCACTGACCTTGGTGTATAGTTTGAGCAAATATTTCATTGTTTCAGAAAAGTATCTGAATTAATTTTATGTGGTGTTTGTATTCTTCAGCTTTATGTAACCACGGCTGTAAAAAATAAAAATCTTTATTGTGCTAAAAAAGTGTTAATGTCATCTATTTTAATATTCCTCCAAATGAATTTATATGTTCTAGAATGCAATATTCAAAATAGGCATTATTTATTTAAATGTTGAGACCAAGTTATTTGTGATATTTTAACAGGTTTAAGCTTTAAATAGTATACTCTCTTTAAGCCATATAGAATCCAACCTTTATTTTTAATTTCTAACACATTCTCATAATGAAATAAATTTTGACTCTGATAGGCTATGATAATAAAAAACTGTTTTTTCTGGATTCAATGCTTCATAAGAATGCCAAAAATTTTAGGGATTGGGATTGGCTTAAAGGTTTCCTTCTTTTTTTTTAAACACATGGAAGCAATAAGTCTGTAATAAAGAGTCCATTTGGAGAGGATGGTAAGTTTCCATACCATTGTTTCATCCTTTCTGTGCGGTCTCTTTTCATAGAATAAGAATGCAGAAATTATACATACCAACATATATTTTTAAAGGAAATAATATTCTAATAGTTTGAAAAGATTTTTTAGGGTCTATATAAATCATTGTGAAAAGCAAATTTTCATAATTTCAAGTAAAGGAATTGTACTTTTCTTACTCTTTCATGTTAGACAGGATTATACAGAAGGATTTTATCTAGTGAATTTAATATTACTACCAAATTTACAAGCATTCTTAAAAGCATCAATTTGAAAAAGAGGGAAAAGGTCCTAAGTAGTCTTGAGTTTTTACCATTGTGGAAATATGTTTAATTAAAATTACTCTGTTGGTAAAGTAAGAGTCATCAAGAGAAAACTATCAGAGTAGTAATTTGATGAATAATTTACTGCAATTTTGTAACGTTAAAATTTTTTAACAAGTGATGGCAAGCATTTGCCGACAACAACAACTATAATAATCAGGAAAAGTATGCTTCTGTACTAAAATCTATTTAGACAGAGCCAGAGCATTAGAAAAGCAGTTTAACACAAAGTGTTCAGATATAGATTTAAAATGGCATTTTGCCCTAAAGCCTGTTGAATGTTCATTAAACAAATGGGGTTTGTAGCCATAGATCTGAACTATAGACTAAAATCTTTCAGGGATGCATCATGGATGGAGCTGCTAATATCACTGTAGTTCAACCCATATTACACTCTCTTGGTCTTCCTACTTGCCCTGACCACACCATGTCTCTTTCTTCTTTGTTCCTTAGTATAAATGCCAAGGTTCTACCACCAGCCCTTTCATTCTCCCCATTTTTTCTTGGGAAAGCTCGATCATCTGCATTGGCTATTCTTGAAACGCTTAAGTTCGAAACTTTCAAAATTTGCTCTTGAGTGTTAGATTCAAAATGCCAAATTCATGCTAAGTTTGGCAGTGATAAGAAATTTGGTATGATAAAATAGTTTATATGGAAGGAAGGATTTTCACATGAAACAGTGAAAAAAGGTAGATATCAGCACATGGTTTGCCTGTCTGCCAGTTTGTAGAAGTCAGCTTATATCAAGACCAGCTCTATTTCTCAACTTTTTCTGGACCCTTTAAATTGTCTTCTTTAGTCTCTCACATCTTATCACATTACTATGCATTGTTTTCTTAAAACACACATCAAGAGAGGATTTAAAATGGTGGCAGAGTAAGTGGATGCTGCATGGACATGCTCCCAGGAACAAACTGGTATTAAAACTAAAATATAGAAAAGCTTCCTGAATAATCAACAGAAAACTCACAGGAGAGAATCCTGACACCTGAGGACCGAAAGTGGAGACCACATAGAAACTGGTAGGAGGAGCAGAGGTGTGAAAGGGCTGGCTCATAGACAGCAACTGAAGTCCTGGAGAGATATCTCAGCTGTGGGGGGTTGCCACTGAAAACTCTGAGATCTAATCCCCAAGCTGGGCTCCCCAGCAGAGAGCACCAAACATAGGAGGGTACCCACATAACATCTAGCTATGAAAAGCAGTGGGGTGCTGTCTGCCAGGGAGTAACAGCTGAAAATTCAGGCACCCTCTTAAAGGACCAATGCACAAAATTCCCTGTGGAGCCACCCACCTTGTGTTACGGCAGGGGGAGGATGAAGTGGACTGGAGCTGTGAGGGCAGAAGACAGGACTGGGGACTTGGAGGATAGAGCTTAGAAGCAGATACCCCAAGTTTCCTGGGCTGAGACATTGTCTCATGCAGCTGAGGACATCTTTCCCACATAGGCATCTGCCTTGCCTGGGGGGAATACAGTGGGCACACCCTATTGGAAAACACCTTACTCTGAAGACACTTAAGAGATTAAAAATAACAATTAGCCTTCAGTAACTGCCCCACCCTATTGAAAAAACTCTTACCACACTTGAGGACAATTGCCTGGGGGGCAATTCAATTCTGAATCCTATCAGTCTGTAGGCACAGGCCCTCTCTGGAGGCTTTGAGTCTATGCCTGATCTAATTAGTCAGAAACAGCCTTTAGCATTGTCCTGAACTAAAGATTAAGAAGTGTAGAGGTTCTATCTAATACATAGTCACAAACCCAAACAGAAAGCCAAAATGAGGAGAAAACGAAACAACCCCCAAATGAAAGAACTAGAGAATCCTCCAGAAGAAGAGATAAATGAAACAGAGATAAGAAATTTATCTGAAACAGAGTTCAGACTAATGATGGTAAAGATGCTCAACAGCATGAAGAAAGATATAGTAACTATGAATAAAGAATAGTCTGAGATAAAGAATGACACAACACAAATAAAGAACACATTGAAAGGAATACACAGCAGACTAGGGGGGCGGGCTGAGGATCGAATCAGTGAATTAGAAGACAATGTTGAAAATATCAATCAGAAAACCAGAAAGTAAAAACACTTAAAAAACAGGAGGACAGTTTAAGGGAGCTGTGGGACAATGTGAATTGTAACAATATTGGAATAGCAGGTGTGCCTGAAGAGGCAGAAAGGGAGAAAGGCATAGAGAAGGTATTTGAATAAATAATGGCAGAAAACCTTCCTAACCTGGTAAAGGAAAAAGTCACACAAGTTCAGGAGGCACAGAGAACCCCAAACAAGAAGAACCCAAACAGACCCACGCCCAGACACATCATAATTAAAATTCCAAAAATTAAAAGCAAAGAGAGAACCTTAAAGGCAGCAAGAGAAAAGAAAACTGTTACCTACAAAGGAGTTCCCATAAGGCTGACAACTATTTTCTCATCAGAAACTCTACAATGCTAGAAGAGAATGGCCTGTAGAGTTTCACGGTAATGGAAAGCAAGGATCTGAGAACAAGATTACTATATCCAGCAAGGCTAGCATTCAAAATAGATGGTCAAATAAAGAACTTCCCAGACAAAAAAAAGCTAAAGGAGTACATCACCACCAAGCCAGCATTACAAGAAATGCTAAAGGGATTGCTGTAATGAGAAGAAGAAACAGAGAGAAATCTAGCCATGTAGAAATATAATGGCAATAAATAAGTACCTCTCAATAATAACCCTAAATATAAATGGACTAAATGCTCCAATTAAAAGGTGTAAGGTAGCAGAATAGAAAAACATGACCCAAATATATGCTGTCTACAAGAGACCCACTTCAAAACAAAAGACACACACAGGATGAGAGTGAAGGAGTGGAAATAATTTTTCCATGCAAATGGAAAAGAAAAAAAAAGCTGGAGTAGCAATACTCATATTCGACAAAATAGATTTTAAAATGAAGGCCATCACAAGAGACAACAAAGATCACTACATAATACTAAAGGGATAGATCCAAGAAGGGGATATAACCCTGGTAAGCATATATGCACCCAAAATAGGAGCAACTAAATATATTTTTTAAATTTTTAGAGTACTTTAACGGAGAGGTCGACAACAATACAGTCACAGTAGGAGACTTTAACTTCACTCTGACTTCACTGGATAGATCTTCCAGACAAAAACTTAACAAGGAAAAAGAGATTCTAAAGGACACACTGGATCAGATGGATTTAATTAACATTTATAGAACATTTCACCCCAATGCAGCAGAATATACATTCTTCTCAAGTGCACATGAATCATTCACAAAGATAGACCATGTTTAGGACAAAAAGCAAGTCTCTACAAGTTCAAGAAGATTGAAATCATATGAAGCATCTTCTCAGATCATAGTGGAATGAAATTAGAAATCAACTACAGTAAAAGCACCCAAAAACATTCAAATGCATGGAGGCTAAATGGTATGTTATTAAACAATGAATGGTTTACCAACAAGATCAAGAAAGAAATCAGAAACTTCCTGGAAACAAAGTGAACACACAACAACCCAAAATCTCTGGGACACAGCAAGCCAAAAGCAGTCCTGAGAGGGAAGTTCGTAGCACTACAGGCATACCTCAAAAAACAAGAAAAATCAGCAATAAGTTATTTAACCCTACAACTTAAAGAACTAGGACGAGAACAAGAAAAGCCCAGAATAAATAGAAGGAAGAAAATAATGAAGATCAGAGCAGAAATAAATAACATAGAGACTAAAAAAAAAACACACACCAAAAAACAAACAAACAGTGAAACCAAGAGTTGGTTCTTTGAAAGGATAAACAAAATTGATAAACTGTTAGCCAGACTCATCAAGAAACAAAGAGAGATGATGCAAGAAATCAGAAACATCAATCAGAAAGGATATATGCACCCCTATGTTCATATCAGCACAATTTGGAAACAGTTTAAGTGCCCATCAGCAGATGAGTGGATTAAAAAACTGTGGTACATCTATACAATGGAATAATACACTGCTGTAAAAAAGAAAGAATTCTTACCATTTGCAACAGCATGGATGGATGTGGAGTGCATTATGCTAAGCAAAATAAGCTAGTCAGAGAAAGATAAATATCAGATGATCTCACTCATTTGTGGAATATAATGAGCAACATAAATTGATGGACCAAAATAGAGCCAGAGGATAAAAATATTTTAGAATATAATAGAAGTAATCCTGTTATTTGCAGATTTTTAATATTTTCTACAACTTTTGTGATATACTATGTTAGTACAATTTTGGTAATATTATTATATTTAAAATG